ATGCTCGGGGTTTCAGCATGCTTTTGCATGTTAAGTAAGTACTGTACCACTAAGCTACTAGCCTCCAGCCCAGACAATTGGCTAAAGTGGTCAAATACCACATGCGCGCGCACCTGTATGCGCGCACACCTGCACGCGCGTGCGCGCGCGCTTACACACACACACGCAAACACACACATTTGGTGTGTGTTATGTGCTTGCGTATTTAAACACTCATACATACTACGCGCTCTCACAGCATCTTTCACAGCGGGAAGAAGGAAGCCCTGCGTTTTGTGGGAAACTGAGATCAGGCAGAGGCTTCCTCAGAGGTAAGCCAGGAAATCAGGAAGTCACCCCTGGGGATTGAATTCATTTGCCTTAAAATGGAGGTGGCCTGCCTCCGAAGCTCACTTAAAGAAGGGGTGCAAAGGCCGGCTCTATTAAATTATAGCTGCTTGGCTTTAGTTAGCATACAACAGGAACTACAATTGTGAAGTCTTAAGATATCGGTGAAAGGAAACCTTTCAAGTGTTGTGCCTTGTGAAACTCAATTTCCCACCACAGGGGCAGGGAAACAGTCTCTCCTGTTTGGGGCTCCCGCTCCAGCACATTCCTGTGGAAGTCCTCACTCATGGCGGGACCCCTCAGGGGCTGCCTTGGCTGAAAAGAAATGGACACTCCTGACTAACTCCTGTGGCCAACCTAAGTCATTTTAGACCCTTTTAGAGACCTTCCTCTCAAGTGTTCCTCTCCCTTCTGTATTTTGAAGGTGTCATGGTCACAGGGCACAAGAAATCAGGAGTATGGGGACATGCTTCCTGTCTCGTGTCCAAAATCTGGGCCCACGTTGCTTTCTCTGCAGCCTCCTGGCTGCGCCCACAGGTGCCCTGCGGCAGGGATCCATTCCCTTGCAAACCTCTGGTGGGATCACTCACATCAAGACGCCTTTGATCATAACCTGCTAGGAACTAAAACGTGAGGATGCTTGGGCTCTGGATGCGGATGCAGCCCAGTGGGAGAAGGTCGAGTATCAGAATAGCTAAAGTATCCAACCGGGGCCCCGGGGGACCCAGTCCCTAGGCTGTCTGCTTCCTCTGTTCCCCGCAAAAAAATAAAAAAAATTAAAAATTTAAAAAAAAATAAAAAAATAAAACCCGCTCAGACCCGGTTCTCGCTTACCTTGGCCCAGGACACCTCGTAAGAGAGCTGCGGGTCCCAGGGCGCTGGGCACGGCAGGTCAGCCGTCTCGGAGCAAGCCACCGTCACCTCCCGCATCGCCGTCACTGGCGCCAGGCTGCAGGCTGCAAGAGGAAGGGGAGAGACAGAGAGGCGTAAGCCAGGCCACCGAGGCAGGTCGCAGGCAGCGTAGGGCGACAGGCTGGGGGCCGTACCGCAGCCGAGGAGCAGGAACTGGAGGCCTCGCGACATGGCTGGAGAGCTGCGACACCGTCCAGGCCACCCTCCTGGGCGCGCGCTGCGTTCTTGTACCCCTGCTCGGGACTTCCCCGTGCTCCGGCCCCGGGGACTCCCCAGCCGGAGGAGGCGGGTGGCCCGGTCCCCGCCCCGCGCACGCGTCCCCAAGTCCGCGTCGCTGCTGCGGCTGGCCAGCGGTGACAAGCAGCTCCGCGGAACGGCCCCGCTCCCTGTGGCTTTAGAAGCCGCGGTGGCACGCGTGACACCGGCTCGATGACCCTCAAGCCCAACCGGGGAATAAGGCCATCAAGCTGTACTTGCAGGTTGAGGGAGGGTGGGCAGCTTCCTCCGAAGCCCAGGGCTGTGGCGACGTTGTTCCTCTGTTGTTCCTCTCCAGATTTTGTGATAGGGGCAGATACACTAGACTTCCAGCAAAGTGGCATACGCCTGCAGTTCTTGGCTCCCTGCCTTCTTCTTGGGTTATCATCCGGCCTTGTTTACATTGTTTGAACAAAAGAGATCTTTTTATACTAAAGCATTAATTACATGCATGCTCATAAGTATTTTAGAAAACAATGTCTAAAAGAAGATTGAGTCCATCTGCTTCGCACCCACTTTCCAAGGCTCAGCGACCATGGGAAAGGGGGTGGGATAGAAAGATTTTAAGAGACAGAGTTCTGGAAGGGTCAGAATGACACAGTATTTTCAGGACATGACACCAAATCTTCTTGAATTCTAGGCATCAATGATTAGCTGCCCAAAACCAAGTAATCAATCTTTCAACATAGAGGGGGTGGAGAGTCACAAGCTCCCACCTCTAACTGAGGCTTCTGGGGAAGGGAGACTCCTTTTTTTTTTTTTTTTTTTTTTTTTTTTTTAAAGTAGCCACCTACTCCCTGCAGGGCAACCACTGGGGGTTGGAGGGAGGGATTCACATCCAGAAGTGTGTGAACACCACAAATTAGGTTATTAAAGAAAAGTCACTTCTAAGCCATACAGAAACAACCCCCTTAACCTTTGGTGTACTGACTTCCACGCCTATGTACATGTTTTAATGGCTTACCTTCCTTACCCCTCCTACTCTCTTTCTGTTTTGTGTTAGCTTAGGTTAGCAGTTTATGAGCAGGTTCACAATACTAAAAATAATTTCAGCAACTGCTTAGTGGCTATGCCATATTCCTTTGGGTCACAGTTTCGAACCCACTAGGCACCATTGAGTGCTTGGTGGCATTTCTAGTTTATTGTTATTTTCCCTTCATATATGAATGCATTTTGTTCTTGTAAAGTCCACCTCCTACTCCCCAGCTCCAGCATCTCCCAGGTCCCTCCCTCCATTCCCCTGCCAACTTCAGGCTCTCTCTAGATCTCTTCTCACTGTCTCCCGCTCAGTTTCAATTTCACCCTCATCTCACTCTCCACATGTATGTGTATATATAAATATGCACTATCCTTATATTCATATACAAATATTTACACTCTCCATATATAGTGAGTATATACATGCATACATACATACATACATAATACACACACACACACACACACTTGTGTGTGTGTGTATATATTACCTATTGAGTCCAATTAGTGCTGCCCACGTGCATGTGGCTATGAGTCTGTGCGCTGTAGCATGGCAACCTCCCAGGTGTCCCACTTTTTATGAAAACTACAGGCTTGCCCACTTATACCCAGTGTTTCTTCCAACACTTTTCAGGATGTGTGCTTTTCTATCTAGCTCTTTAACCCGTTTTAACATGATTTGATATGAATGCCTAGCTGATTATTTTTCCCTCACTGACAGTGGGACAGAAGCTTCTTCCAATGCTGCTCCCCCCTGCCTGACCCTAGCCCAGTTCTATTTTTTAAGGCTAGAGCTTACTAAGTAAACATGCTGGCCTTGAACTCACAACCCTTCCCAGTTCTGGCGTTACAGACCTGTGCCACCATTGCCCCACCCCTGCTCTAATGCTGTTTCTAAAAGTCCCTTTTCCTTCTCTGATTGAAATAATGTCTCAGCTCCACACATGGTTTCATAAATGAGTGAACCTGCTTCTGGAGTCTTCTCTGTTTCTCCCTGGACTAATATCACACATGCTCCTGACTGAGGGTTATGGAAGCCTTCACTCGGTGCAGGAGCTGAGCCCCAGGCATTAAACTTCTTCACCAAAGCTGTCCCAGGGTTATTGCATCCTTGAACTAATGCAGATTATAATCTACCTAATGTACTAGGACGACCTAGCTTACATTTTAATAAGAAACATTTCAAACTATACACTGTACAATTAAGAGATTTAGAACTCAGGCCCACAAATCCACCAGAACTGTGTAATTCTCCATTAATTGAGGTCTTCAGGAAGGTTTTAAGTTTCACACAGAGCCATTTCTCACATCTCCAGATAAACGTATACCAAAGCACCTTCACATTTTTGGGTGGCTATTTTAATGTGTGTTTCCTAAGCTGATTTTTTTCTAAGAGTCCTTAACCAGTGAATAGAACTTTACACACGTGTGTCTTCTCAGAATGGCATTGAACCAATTCCCACGATGGCATTTCTTGACTCATCGGTTGTTTAAAGAGTTCATGTTTTCACTGTCACTGCCGGTGTCTAACAGTGGGGGATGCTCCACAACACTGGCTGCTAGAATCTTTGCAGTACCTCGAGAATTGTTTTGTGGGCTGCCGTGTGACCTGCTGGCAAGAGCCAGCATGCTCTGGGGAGCCCCTGCCTCTGCCTTCCAGTGCTGGAATTACAGACATCACCATACCTACCTGGCATTTATGTGGGTTCTGGGAATCAGATCTCTGATTCTGGCTGATAGGTGAGTACTTAACCACTGAACCATCTCCTAAGCCCTGAAGCATATTCTTTACAGAGGTCAGAGGTTTCGTTTTTGTTTTTAAGTCATGTTTGCTTATTGTGAGGCTCAGGACTTTTATGTTCTTTCTTTTTGTTAGTAGCACTCTCAAATTACTGAAAGAGATGTGTCAAATTCGTGCTCTACATCTGCCTCCTAAGTGCTGGGAGTATACAGACACACACACATATACATACATACATACATACACACACATAACACAGATATACATACATAACATACATATATACATAACACACATACATACACACATTTGCACAAAGGCATTACATATCCCCAGGTTAGCCTTGAACTCACACTGCACCTGCAAATAACCTTGAAAGACTGACCACCCTGCCTCCACCTCCTCCAAAAGCAGAAATCACAGCCGCACATTCCAGTGCAAGGCTATTATTGCTTTTAAATGATTGCCTTCATCATGGTTTAATAAGCAGGACGGCTTTCATACATTCTAAAACCAACTGTTGCTGCCTATACTACCCCTGAGTACCTGCTCTCTGCCCCGACTCACACACCATGTGCCTGCAATGGCTGGCTGTTCCTCTTCTGGATGCCCAAGACTCTTACGTCCCTGCTGGTTATCAAAGCTGAGGCTCCCTGGTCCTCTCTCTCCCATCTCACTCCTGCAGCCAAAGTCAGCTCAGTCCAGAACCTAATTCTTCACTCATTTGCAGCCCTCACACGTCTCTTTCTTGTTAGAACAAACTGTGTATGAGAAACACTTTATTCAGAATTTCTAGAAACTTCCAAAACATATTTGTCATAATTCACAGTGTTGTGCGACCCCACTGCAATCCCCTCCCACTGCACAGATGTCCTGAGGTACACGTTTGCATAGTCTTCCTCGGGCTCTAAATATCCCTTCATCCTGAGTACAAACTGTTTCTAAGGAAGGGAGTTCAGTGTGAAGCTTTCCAGGGTAACTTGGGGTCACATTCTGGCGAAAATCTAGAGAACATTTCCTTGGATGTTTCTGGAGCGGAGAAGTCACAGCTCCACACGCCGGAGAAGACTTCATGGGTGGATCCTTGCTTTCATCAGGAAAGGACAGGAAAATGGACACAAAAGTTTCTTGCCCTCTGAACACCAAAGCTGTCATCATCACGTCTTCCTACTCTGTTATGAAGAAAAAAAATTACCAGCAAGCACTGTGGTTATAGGGCCACGGCCAAGAGCAGATGCTCCTTAACCATGGGCACAACCCCAAACTAGCCTGTCCCTTCACTGCCTAGGCTGAAATCTTGGGGTTCTCGTCTGTTTCCTTGCTTTGTTTTTCTCTCAGAAAGCAAGCACACCAAAGAGGCACGTTTAAAATCTTAAATTTTTTTAATGCTGCCATTTCAGGATCTGGTCAGTTTGGAGGTCAGTAAAGAAAGTTCTAGAACAGAAGGAATGCCCACCTACCCTTCCCATGGTGCTGAGGGATTGAGTGTTGAGAGGACAAAGTTGCAGGTGACTGTTTAAGTCACTGTTAAAGGTTTGCACAAGACACTCTCCAGGGTGAACATGGCTTGTTGTCAAAATTCGTCGTTTCTCTCTTGGGGGCTGAAGAAGGGAGCTGGTGGACAGCTTTACAAAGAAAGAAAATAAATAAGCCATGATTTGGGGGAGTAGGGGAAAGGATCAGGAGAAAAAGGAAATGAGAGTAAGGTTTGCCCTTTAAGCAAAAGTCCAGTGGGAGGGGAAAGCGTGGGTGGTCCTAGGATGCTGAGCTCATCACAAACATGTGGCTAGGCTTGTGGCTGCCAGAGAATAGCTTCTTGGGGAGCTACTGCTGGTCCACTGCTGGGGTTGAGGTGGGGGGAACCCCGAGGGTTAATCCCCTGAGCTCTTGACCCTCATATCCTTAGCCTCAAGGATGAGGAAGTCCTATAAAAGGGAGGTTCCCTTTTGCCCCAAGTTTGCCGGCCACCTGAGGCTTCTCCTCTGAGATAGGAAGAACACTTAAGTCAGCCTGGCCAACAAAACTACCAGAGCAGCTTCCACAGGCCAAGGACCGCCACAAAGAACACTTTACAGCTCACACTTCTCCACGGGCACCAACACCCGGATGTCCACAGGCCATGAGAACAAGAGGCTGAAAGGGAAGCCGGGGCGTGGGCATGTAAGCCATGGTTTTTAGACAAATTTCCCCACTAGGTTTTTCCCTCAGGGCTAATTATTAGTCACCCTGTACTTTCCAACAAGAGGCTCATTTATTAACTGATTATGCCAAATAAATGAGTAGGAATAACTTTTAGTCCCAGAACTTTCTTTTTTTCTTAAGAAACGAATAACATTTCGAAACACTGTTGCCCATTGTCAGAGGAGAAAAGTTGCACTGGGATGATTCCAGGGTTTGCTATGTGGTGGTCCTCATGATCCCACCCGGCCAGTCACACACAAACCCCAGGCAGAGAAACTGGTCCCAGGCCTGACTCCAGACCTGAGGGATGGAAGGCTTGCCCCTCTCTGGCTTCTCCACCAGCTCCCATAACCCTCTAAAGATCAGGGGAAGAAACTCTTCACTGGGTGAGTGTTTTCGAATGCTAACCCTGTGCTAGGGCCCCCTGCTCACATACTCACCGGGCTTGCTTGCCCCTATTTCTAGAATTTTCTGGGCCCGAATCACAGCCCCAGCTTCCTCTTTCACTTGTCTGTCCAAATGTCACTTTCCCAGAAGTGTCTCTAAAAAAGAAAAGATTTATTTTCGTGTGTGTGTGTGTGTGTGTGTGTGTGTGTGTGTGTCGGGGGGAGGGGGATGATCTTCAGAGGTTTCAGAAGGAGGAGTCAGATTGACTCCCTGGAGCTAGAGTTTCAGGCAGTTGTGCACCCCATGGTATGGGTCCCCTGGAGGCATGAAGCACTCTTTACCACTGAGTCATCTCACCAGCCTCAGAGGCGACTTCCATAAGCGAGACATGAAGAGCAGATTTCCGCTGTCTCCCTTTGGTGCATGTGACCTCTTAGTTCTCATTGGTCACACATTAGTCTGCGTGTGTGTGTGTGTGTGTGTGTGTGTGTGTGTGTGTGTGTGCTTCAATGCCACTAGAACCCACAGCTGTGTCCTCCTCCCTTCATCCAGTCTCAGACCCTAGAATGGCACCAGGCACACAGAGGATGCTCAAACGATGGGTAGAAAGCGAGCAAAGGAGTCCTTGAGATGCTGCTGCAGCAATTGACTGTACCATGTCCATCCTTCTGTGTTCCACACTGGTAACGACACCTGAAAAGTTAGGGATCAACCGACAGAACATCAAGCTGCATTTGTGAAGGCCCTTCAAACCCAGCCCTGTGCTTGCTCACTCACTATAAGGACTCCTAGAAGGCACCAGAAAGACTGTTCTATTCTGTTCTATTTATGATTCCAGTTTCTCAGGGTAAAGGTTACAGAGCAAATAGTGCTTGCAATGAAGGTTGCATAGGGCAGAGCCCAGGGGAGGAGAGCACATGGACTCCACATGTCCTTTGTCCTTTACCTGTGGAGCCATGGGTGGCATTGCTCCTCCTAGCCATGAGGTGTGACAATATGTCTATAATACCACCAACCAAGGAAACACGCAAGCCTTGGAATTCCATATTTTGATGGGGCTGAAACCAGATCCTGTTCATATGATTGACCTTAGATTCAAGTCCTTCAAAAATGTAACTGATATTGCCACCCCACCAAAATCTTTATCCAAAACAATTTGTTACTCTGTCCAGTGGCCGCTTCCTTAGAAAGATACTTCTGCCAAGCCACAAGATTCAAGGATTCCCTAATCACCACCAGGTAGGCAAAGGCCAAGGCATATGACCAAACCCAAGGTCAGACACTGGGAGGACATTTCTAATTTCTCAGTGTCCAACAGTTGTGGGCAGAAATGTTCTCCCAGTGTCTGACCTTGGGTTTGGTTATATGACTTGCTGGTCATAGGAGAGGGCAGAAATCAATGTGTGCTGATTCTGTTTTCCCTCTCGGATTGCTGCCATGGTCATGGGAAGTCTATTCCTTGTCTATCTTACTAGTTCAGGAAGACAGTCACTCAGCCCCACTCCGTGCTCAGCCCAGTCCATACATAGCTGACCTTCAGCCATGAACTGAGTGCTTGAGTTAAATACATGCCTTCCCTGGCCCGAAGTCTTTCTGAAAAGCCATTGACTATGATACTGGGACCTGTTTCCTCTGCATATACTGGATTTTGGGGATCCAGTCTGTTTGGACACTCACCTTCCTGGACCTGGAGGGAGGGGGAGGGAACTGGAACTTCCCACAGGGCAGGAAACCCTGACTGCCCTAAGGGATGAAGAGGGAGGAGGAGAGGGAGTGGGGGGAGTGGGAGGGTGTTGGGAAGAGGGGCGGAAATGGAAACTTTTATAATTTAATAAAATTTACTAAAAAAAATAAATAAATACATGCCTTCCGTCAAGGGCTAAGATCTGTGAATGGTTGCTAAGTTGCATTACTGTAGGGATAATTAACTGGTAAAGGTAGCAACCTAACCTCTTACATAGCAGAAATCATCTTCTGTGAGTTTGTACTTCCAGTCATCCTTAAAACAGAATAGGTTGAAGAAATGAGCACAAATTGACAAGGTTGGTTGGTTGTAAGTGGGTGCTACGGTTTAGGCATGGGCTGAGTGTGGTGTGTTCCAGAATGTTCATGTATTCACAGCTTGGTCCCCAGTATGGTAATGATATAGTGGGGCCTGGGAGGAAGTGAATGACTGACTGAAGACACTTGCCCAAGGAGAAACCAATGTGCTGCGGCTGGGACCCTAAGTAATTCTCAGGAGAGTTGTAAAGAAACAGACCTAGCTCAGGGCATGCTAGCCCATGCCTCTAAACCCCAGTACTTGGGAGACTGAGGCAAGAGTTCAAGGCCAAGCCAGGCTACAGAGCGAGTTATAGGCTTTACTGGGTTCTGAGTAAGATCTTGTTTCCAAACAAACAATAAAAAAAGACAATAAAGAAGAAATTGCATGGGCCCCTGTGTCAACCTCTTTGTCTTGCTTCGTGATTTCTTGCTTTCACAAGTGCCTCTGCCAGGATGTCACCTGTCATGTGGTGACCGAGCCAGGGAAGCCCAGACTAGAGGCCAAATTGAGGGGCTTTCCCTAATCTTGGACTTTCTTGGTCTACAAAATGGTGAGTTTTAATAAACCTTTCCCCCACTTGCCGAACCTCAAATGTTTCATTACAGCAATGGAAATGCGCCTACAAGACCAAGAAGCTATGATGAGTAAATAGTGAAATTCAGCTGACAATGAATGCGGTCTTCGTAAGAGGAGAGCAATAGAGAGGGTGGGGGCTATGGGAAACCGAGAAGCCGGAGTCGCCTGGAAGGAGCCGAGCTCTACCAAGTGCAGATAATATCTTCATTAGTGTCACCTGAATTAAAATGAAGACACGATCACCCCTAGGTATGATTGAAGAGAAGGTTTTACTGTAGATGTGAGGGACAGTACAGCCAGAGACATCTCGGAGGGTCCAGATTGGAATGGGCCATGAGAGGAGAAAAGGCCGGGAGAGGGAGAGAGGAAGAGGGGATGGGCAGACCAAGGGAGTAAGCTGTGGACCAGGAGACCAAGGTCAAGCAAATCAATCAAGAGGGTGTGTAGCCAAAATGGCTGAGATATATAGGGATCCAAAGCTAGAGGAAGGGAAGCCCAGCCCTGGGCTGGAGAGGTTTAGGGTAGGGGGCAGAGTGAGTTCTGTGAGTGAGTGATGCTGAGGAGAGTTCTAGGAGTGAGGGGTACCAAGTGATGCTGAGAGAGCTGGCCAGCGTCTGCTTTGACATATTAGTAGGCACTTCAGTCAGCCATTTGTCCCAGGTTTCTTTGAAACCTACCATTTGCCAAATCTTCCAAAGGTTTGTTAGGAATAGCTAAAAATATAGCTATTTCTATGCAATATCTTAAACATGGTACTAGACAAACACCCAAACCTGTCAGCGAGCGACCTTTTCTTTCATGCCACGGTGGCTTCTGTGGGATGTGAAGAAAAGCATCCTCAGGGACTCAGGACAGCACAGGCTGACCCACGACCTCATGTGGGGCTTTGCAATGAGTTTCATTTGAAAGTGAAAATTAGACTCCGAGGAAATGGACCATAATAAATGCATGCCAAAGAGACTTCCGCAGCTCTTGGCCCATGGCCATCTCCGTCATGGCTTCATTGAGACACTTAAGGATTAGGAAATGACTCACTACCATTTTCCTTCTTTGAAATGTAGCATTCATGAGAATCGGCCACAGCACAAAGCACCTGTCGTCATCGTTTGCAGAGATAATGTTCGGTGGGATGGGGACGCTCCTGGAACGCCATCGTCTCCCAAGAACTACACAGCGGGATGGTACTTAGCTAGGGTGAGATGAGACATGCTACCCCCAGATTTCCCCCCACTAGAACAGCATCTCAGAAGCTGACCCTCTTCAGGTTTGTAGGTAACCGCGGGGTATGTGTGTACAGGTGTGTGTGTGTATGTACGTGTGTATGTGTGTATAAGGTTATAGTGTGCAGGGGTGTGTGTGTGTATGCGGGTGTATATGCCTATATGTGTGTGTATGTGAGTGTGCATATGTGTGTGGAACCCAGAGGTCTATGTCAGGTATCTTCTTTAATCACTCTCCATATTATTATTATTATTATTATCATCATCATCATCACCACCACCACCACCATCATTATCATTATTAATTATTTGAGACCAGACCCCTTATCAAATCTGAAGCTCACTGGTTCAGTCAGACTTCCTGGCTAGGGAGACATGGGAATCTTGCTGTCTCTACCTTCCCAGCACTATGTAACAGGGACATACTGCCACACCTGACTGCTTACCTGGATGCTGGGGTTTCAAACTCAGATCCTCAAGGTGGGTGTTCTACTGACTGAGGCATCTCCCCAGCCCCTAGAACCTGGTCTTTTAAACAGCAGTGTCACTAGCTTCTTATCTGCAGGTTCCTAAGAGTGTTGCACATCAACACCTTCTCTGGCTCTCCTGAGGAGGCACAGCAGAGCTGGCAGTGAGTCCAAGGACCATCTTTCAGGCGTGTGCTTTCCAGTGTCTGGTCCTAAGGTTGACGCTCCTCTCCACATGCAAGAGTCCTTATGAGGATGGGGTTTGTTCAGTGCCAGAAGTCATTTCTGCTCCTTCCTTTTCTTGCTGCACATAGCCCTGAAGATTTCATGTGTGTGATGATGCAGAGAAAAGGCAAGGAAGGCCTCCTCTGTCCTAGTATATCTGGGAACACTGGTGGCCAGGAGGGACCAGGAGCAGAGAGGGTTTGTCACTAATTCCATTAGCAGCAAGACTGCCTTGTGCACAAAAGGGCTTAAAGTTACTGAAGAGTTTCTTTTCAGGAATGTCTCTGCAGTGCTATAAACAGCACATTCTTCCAAGGCCAGAAAGAGGAGAGAAATCAGCATCTCCTGAGGCTCAGCGGACATGCGCATCACCCCATCTAATCCTTAGGATGCTTCCAGGGGGGTGTGTTACAGTGTTCACTTCCAAGTGCAAAGGCATTAATGCTCAAATGTGCCTGACCTGACAGAACACGTTAGATAAGGGTAATGAGTCTTGGTGAGTGAGTTCCCTGGTGGGCCCTCACTTGATCTCTACACCAACAAGAAGATCCATGTCCCTCAACTGGTGGGAGCATAGCACGAAGGTCCTTGTGCCCACAAATCTCCAGAGAAATCAGGAATGT